TCCAAGGTCATGCCCTGTGGGTGCATTGCTGGATTTTGTGCCCTGTGTTGTCTCATTCATCCCAGTTATAAGTGGCACGAGTTTAATAAATGCTGCATTAATGGAAGAATGGATAAGTAAATAGTAAGTGTGGGGTGCTCCACATAGAAGCCACCACTATGAAGGGGGGAAAAGCTTTTATTGAGCCCAATTAAGGTCCGAGGTTCTAAGCAGCACCTGCTATAGGGCCCTGGATCTTATAGACAGTTCTTGCTTTGGGGATTACAGTGGACTATGTCAGGACTAGGTCAGCCAGAACATGTAATAAGCATGGCCACTCTAGTATGAGAGGCCGGGGGATGGGCCAGAAGGGACAGTATGCACACCTGGTCTGTCCCCTCGTTGGCTGAGGAGGCTGAGACCAGCACAGTGGAAGGCTCACTTAAGGCCGTTCAGCTAGACAGTAGGCCAGGTGGGCCTGGAACTCAGGTCTCCTGACTCCTGCCCCCTATTCTTTCATTGTTTCCAGGCTACCTGAAGCCCCTTTCACAACCTGCTCACCTGTCACTCAAGGCAGCCTGTTCTTGTCCGGTTGGCCTGAGTCCCCTGCTATGTTTATCCTGCCCTTTGGGGTGGCATTTATGTTTTGTCTACAGAGCAGAATCCCTTTTCTCCTTCCACTGTTCATGTGGGGGCGCCTTTGTTGTGGCCTGAACTCTGGGGATGGGATTGGGCGGTGAGCCATGCCTGCTGCCCTGCGGGGGCCTCCTCACCTGTGCAAAGGACAGGTGTCTGCTGTACTCTGGGCTGTGGGTCTCCCTCTCAACTGGGCAGTCAGCAGAGTAAACAGGACTGTTTGGGAGGGCCTGTTTCCTTAGAGCACATCCTCATGAATGTTTACTGGTGTGGAAAAGGGATATAACGTGCCCTTAGTCTCTACTATGAAACCAGAAACTCTACAAGAGCTAGGCTTCCCCCATTAAATGGCACAGTGGAGCGAGCTGCTAACAATTTGATTTGCACTTTAAGAACGATAGCAACCACACAGCACTGGTTGTGCCAGGTCCTGACACAAGGCAGGGGCACGGAGTGAAATTTTCAAGCTCACCCAAGCAGTCAGGGGTGCAAGCCAGCTTAGATTTAGGTTAGTCCAGCTTCCAAATCTGTGCTCTTAGCCACCTTACTGCGTGGTCTCAGGAAGGCAACTCGGGCTGCACGGTTATTTTTCCCTAGCTCCTGGCAGAGGAGAAATGGACCGCTGGGCTTCTGAAGGTTGGCTCCTCAGAAGTACCTTCACACACTGAGACTGGACCATTGGAGAACAGAATGAATGCTTAGCATTTCAAAGGCTCTTCAAAACCCGGAAGAGGCTTACAGGTTGCAGGTTCTTCCTGCAGGTGGGTGCCGGAATCTACCCTGGCACAGAGCTCTTAGAGAGGAAGTGGCTGTGTGTGTGGCTGAGGGACTGGACCCAGGAGCAGGGCAGGTGTTGCAAGGGGCCAGGTAAGAAAAGAGTAAATAAAGCAATAACGCTGCTGGCCTTAGGAAAGACACAGCCTGTCTGTGTGTAGTCTGTTTTGTAGAGACACGTACACAGAGAGCTGGGTCTCCACAATAAAAAGTAATGACACACGTGTGATGACAAATGAAACTTGAATCTTGCCCTAGCTGGTTTGGCTCAGTGGATAGAGCGTTGGCCTGTGGACTGAAGGGTCCAGGGTTCGATTCTGGTCAAGGGCATACTCCTGTGGGGCAGACTTGATCCCCAGTAGGGGGCATGCAGGAGGCAGCCGATCAATGATTCTCTATCATCATTGATCTCTCCCCCTCCCTTCCTCTCTGAAATCAATAAAAATATATTTTTTTAAAAAACACCCTTGAATCCTCATTAGTGGCAGGGGCCAGCCAGTAGTACGTAGTGGTAAGGACTGCGTCCACTGTAGCACACACCTCTCTGAAAGGGACTGTTGCTACTCAGTGGTAGCCATGTAGGAATCCAGACTGAGTGTCATCCTATTTAAAAAACTTTTGAGGCATTATAAATATCAATTTTTATGTTAAATATCCTGATTTTTCAAGATGGGCTCAAAAGTTTGAAATTTTAAATTCACTTGTTACCCCTGAGGTATGACTTGATGAACCCACTGTGGAGGGTGGTGTCTTCTGGTGCTACTTGAGGTCAAGTTCAGTGTGAACCAACAGCTCCAGCTGGGAGAGGCCCAGTACCCCACCAGTCCCTGCATGGCACACAGGGACAGTGGCAGGTGGCCGTGGAGCCAGACAGATCCCCTTTTAGGACTCTGTAAGACCCAGGGACAAGGAGGACCTCCCCAAAGGGTGACACTGTCATTTAGCTTATAGGTGGCTTTAACCTAAATTGAAGGATTCAAAGGGAAGTGCCCTTTCCTGGTGTCCTACGTGAGATAGAGCCAGCAGTTCATACCACTTACAACAGTTTGATTTTATCCCCCACAACAGCCCTGAGAGCTAAGAAACCACCACATGCTTACAGATTCACATGGGCTGCCTAGCTTAAAGGAATACAGTAAATAGGATAGTAAATATCTGCCCAAGTACATGTCACCAGACAGACTGTGTCCTTGGCTCACCACTCAGCAGCCATATGGTTTGGAGCAACTTTGAGCTCCTGGGTCTCCATTTCCTCATCTCTGTTATAAGTATGAGATAGTGACTATTAGCTGTGCTGTAGGATGGAATTATTTAATGTGCAAAAAGTACTTAGCATGATGCCTCTCCCCTAATGAGAACTCAATAAATGTTAGCCGTCTCTGCTCTTTCCACGTCCAAATCCTCAGGTGTCACAGCCCACGGAGCCATTATTTAAGATGCGCCAGAAATGTCAAATATACACTGGACTTCAAAGTCTCGGGATGAAATTGAGAACATGAAATACCTCATCAGTACTTTATACACTGAGTGACCAGATTATTATGACCACCTGACGTTTGTAAGCAAATTAGCTATAATTTCGTGTGAAGTTGCTAGAGGGCCAGATCATTATAAACGTCTGAATAGCACAACATACCTGATCAAATTCATCCTATCATGTTGATGGCGTATCCCAATGGAGATGGCTTCTTCCGACAAGACAATGCGCCATGCCACGGTGCTCGTATTGTGCAGGAGTGGTTTCAAGCACATGAGGGAGACTTTACCTTGCTTAGGTGGCCCCCACAATCACCAGATCTCAATCCAATTGAGCATTTGTGGGACGAAGTTAAAAGAGCCATCAGGCAGCTGGTTCCACAACCATCAAATCTCACAGAACTGGACACTGCTATTCATCAGGCATGGTGTCAGATTCCTCGAATCACCTTTCAACATCTCGTGGAGTCAATGCCAAGAAGAATTGTCGCAGTATTGAAGGCAAAAGGTGGCCCAATGAAGTACTGATGGGGTGGTCATAATAATCTGGCCAGTCATAATAATCTGACCACTCAGTGTATATTATATCGGTTATATGTTTAAATAATACCTATGGTATATTGGGTTAACAAAAATCATTAAAATTAATTTTACCTGTTTTTTTTAACCTCTTTTAATGTAGCAACTAGAAAGTTTAAAATTATAGCTGTGGCTCCCATGAAATTCCTCTTAGACTGCATTGGTCTGGAACCTAGAATAATGCCTGACGCAGAGTGGGCCCTCAGGAAGTACATGTTGAATGAATGAATGAATGAATGAATGACTAGTTTTCACAGATTCCTTGGGCCTTTGTCTTCTCCCTTGAGCCATGTGCCCTCCCTCTGGCTCCTGTTACCCCTACAATGATTGACCACCACAGACTCTCAGCAATCATTCATCATTAGACAATCCTCCCGCTCCCATACCCCAAGTCACAGGGGACAGAGGCCCCAAGAGATGGAGGGCCTTGAGGAGGACATGGTCAGTGACAGAGCAGAGAGTGGAACCAGAACGTCTGCCAGAGCAGAGGCACTTAGACACGACCTAGTTTTTCCAGTGAAGGCCTTGATTTTTATCAACATCTTCATAGAGGCAAGTGGAAATTCTCGGTCAGTCAGGGTAAGTGGTCACATGGCTACTAGACAAAACGAATTCTCAGGAGACTGCCATCCCTCCCTCTGAAACCTTGACCTTCAAATTACAGCCAAGTCTAGCCCCACCACCCACCTCTCTCGGAAGCATTGAGGTTGCAGCCCTTGAAGGCAGAAATCAACAGTGCTGTCATTTGGGGCATTCTGTCATGGCTTTAAGTAAAAGGGCCTTGGGGTGTCCTTGTAATAGTGATAATAGTATTGAAAAAAGCCAAAAGAGTTGGCAATAGCTCTTTGGAAGTCTCTGAAATCGTTAATATTATTGATCCAGAGAGGCTGCCAGTTGGCACTTGCTGGGTTGTTTTTCTCTCTCAGTTCCGCTAATTCAATTTCTCTTTCTCTCTCTCTCTCTCTCTCTCTCTCTCTCTCTCTCTCTCTCTCTCTCTCTCTCTCTCTCTTCCCCCCCCCCCCGCCCCATTTCTCCCTCCCTCCCACCACCACAGTGCAGAGAGTCAGGGCCTAGGGAACCATGTGCTAGTTAATAAAAGGTTTCGGAACAATTCACTTTGAATCCATTAAATCCAAATGTGTGACAGTTACATAATGTCATAAACACTTACGAGTACAGGGAGGAGGGCCAAGAAAGGCAAATGACACAGACCAAGATACACAGGAGTGGTGAAAAATGTAAGACAAGTGTGTGTGTGTTTTGTTTGTTTTTCCAGTGCTGATCACTTTCTAGAGCAGAGCAGACCTAGAAGCCAGGCCGTGCAAGTCACAGACACTCCACAGCTCACTCCCCAGATGCTTGGAGGCCCAAACGGAGGAGCAAGTCTTCATTCTCATTCTCGAGATCTGAAAGTCCGGGGAAGAAGAAAGAACTGCAACCCTAATTAATGTTCAAGGTGTTCAACTCAGACCAAAGCAAGTCAGCAACTAGCCACCACTGGATAGGGCTGTGGACATATGTAACAGAGGCTGCTGGGGATGTTGGTACTAGCACAGAGTAGAACTATGTCAAGGTGGAAGAGGATGTCTTTGGCTGGAAGAAGGATGGAGCCTTTCGATTTGGGAAAGGCACCTGAAGCTCGGAGGCATGGTAAGTGCAGGCGCGTACGCTGATTGTCCTTGCTGGTGACCAAACAGAGCACTTGGGTGAGGAATGACCTTGAAGTTGCATTTTAGACTTAGTCTTTATGCAAGGTGGCAGTAGACATCCTTTGGGTCATGGCTGTTGTTGGTGCCCTTGCCATCTTTCTTAATCAGCAGTTTTTCAATAAAACTGAGCTTTCTGTTTGTTCTCAGGGGCTCCTATGGATGTTTCCCCAGAGCTGGGAGGGCTGAGCTGTGGGCACGAGGTTTGGCCAGCTCCCTGAAAAAACGTCTACCTGCTGAGAGCTCCAGTTGTCTCCCTGCCATCGTGATGAACGTGACACAGAGCACAAAAGAGGGCAAGTGGAAGAATGAATTGAAATAAAGGAAATGAAGCAACCTGTGAAAAACCAGCAAACAAGCCTACATCAGCAGTGAAAGTCAATGAGGCAAACACCATCTGGCCCTGAAAATGAATGGAGCAGAAAAGGATGGCCTCGCCTCCCGGGGATTGGCGCTCTGCTGGGTGCAGAGTCGTGTCCATGCCTGCCTGAGACTAGCCTGGGTCAGGCGCGCAGGTGAGGGTGGGCAGGTGTTAATACATTTCTGCAGAGCAAGATGTTGGACAGACATTTCCCCCTTGTAATATATCAGGGCACAGTTTCACCTAATGGAAACTATTCAGCAGGAAGGCGTTAGAGTAGCTGCTTCATTTCCATCCCCACGCAGAGCAGAATTCAGGGATTTGAATACAGTGGAGTTGTCCATGAGAGCACAGTCTGATCACTTGCACTCATTCACTCATTCAGTCCTGCATTCATCCATCCTCCCATTCATCATCCCTCTCTACCTCTCCTTTATGCCACCACTGCTTTAGTCCATTGCTAGGGTCTCCTGCCTGACCCACCTGCCTCCCTCTGAGCTCTCATCCCTACACATGACCACCAGAACCTCTGTTAAAGCTCGAAGCTGCTATGATCCCTCCTGATAGTCAATAACTCCCCACTGCTCACATGCAATACCCCCCACAATGGAACTGTTCCAACCAGCTGACCTCATCTCTTGCTGCACCATCCCTCCCCACACCCCCGCCTACATTCCGTTCGTGCCCACTAATGATCCACATTGTTTCTTGCTTTGGAGTCTTCTCTTATGCAGGTCCCCATCCTGGAACATCTTCCCTTTTGTCTTCTCCCACTTTCCCTCACCTATATGCCTGCTGATATTACTTAGAAGACCAAGCTATGAAAATGTGCAGCTATACCTCGCAATGCAGAGAGTGTAGTTGACAATGCCCCAGCTGCTGCCCTGCTGGGTCTGCCACCATGTTCATGTCGAAGCCGTGGCTCCTGTGGGCTGCTCTCAGGCCACGCCTGAGCACAGTGGGCCCTGCCCAATAAGATATGAGATTCTGCCAATGGGTAGCTTTGGTCCAAGGAATCCCCATTGGTCTGACCAAACCTTTCTTGGAATTGACCTGCAGTCTGAGACTCTTCCTATCTTCTCCTCCTTTCCCACAGGTATCAGGCATGCAGTGTGGTCTGAGGGCTCTTCCTGCCTTCTGCTCCCTCCACCGATAAATCCCTTACATGTCTAACCTTCTCTTTGCATCTGCTTTTCCATGAACCTGAACCTAGCACCACCTCTTTTTGAAGACTTTCCTAACCTTCCTTGTAGAATTGAACCCTCTCTCCTTCCCACCATCCTCTCTACCTTCTATGTACTTTTCATGATTGCACCAATAACTTCACTATAATTGTCTGTTTATATGGCTGCCTCCATTTCCTAGAGAGTAGACTCCATGAGGCCAGTGAGTCCACTGTCTTACCTGTCTTGTTAACCTCATTGCCTAGTGTAGTGCCTGCTATATTCAGGCACATATACTTGTTTCTGAAATGAATGAATAATTGATCTGTGTATCCATTTATCAGTTCCCGTTGTTCTAGACCACGTGGTAGGTGCAGAGGATAGAGTATTAATGGACGAGACTCCCTGCCTTTAAGGTACTCTGCGGCTGTTTGGCGGATTAGCATGCAGGTAACTATAAGTGAGAATGGAATAGCTGCTATCAAAATGAAATAAAGAGGAAGGTAAAGAGGAAGGTGTGATTACTTTACAGGGGGTGGTGGAGGAAGGAGGATGCATCAGGAAAGCCTTCCTAGAGAAAGCCGTGTTCGGACTGGGGCCTGTGGAAGCTGTAGGACTTATGCACAGACAGTATGAGAGGAGGTGCCTAGGCCAGAGACTGCCCACACAAGGGCACAGAGGGTGACGTCATGAGGGCTATTTGTTAATTTCATTATGAAAAATTTCCAGTACACACAGAAAAAGGGTGTGTCACTTGTTTTACCTTCCCTTTTGTGGTTGCTGCCGGAGAAGGCTTTGTTCGTTTGATGTTTGTTTACTCTGCCTGATTACCTCGTGTCTCCATCTGCCTCAGAGCCCCCACTATGTCTGTTTGAGGCTCTCCACATTGTCAGTCCCCTTGACTGACTTTGCAGATTCACATCTGGCAGGCTCTGAGGCCAGGAAGATGCCTGGAGGTTTCAGGCATTTGGCTGGACAGGCAGGAGCCTTCAGTGACTATCTCCAGCTGACAGGTCCCTGGGCAGAGGACTGACTGGCTCCTGAGCCTGGGGTGAGCATGGGGAGGGGATGCTGGCAGCAGACACCGTGTACACTGTCATCTGCTGTTGGAAGGCATCAAACGGCTGCTGCCTAGGGAGGTGGGAGAGAGAGGTAGGACAGAAAGGGGACAGAACCAACTGCCTGCGGCCTGGATGCTGCTGGCTCTGTGCTGGCCAGCTTTGCCTGCAGCCTCTTTTGGACACACGCAGAGCTGGGCTGGCAGGTGGCACTCTCACCGATGATGCCTGGCTGCAGCTGCACTCCGTGCCTCTCAGCAGGCAGCTCCTCCCCGATGTGTTGGCAGCAAAAACTCAATCTCCGGGAGCTCCAGGGGCTGCTTCAGAATCACTCTGGTCTGGAGGCCTGTGGAGACCAGTGAAGGTGTGGGAGACCAGGTCTTCAGTACAACTTGAGACCTTCTTCCCTGTCCTTGCCCTCCCTCTGGTAGATCGGCAAATAAACTCTCAAGTGTAAATTTCCTTATCACGGGAACACAGAAACGAAGCACCCATGAGTTCTCTATTCCACCCCTGCAGGGCTGCCCCTCCTTCAAAGAAAAGTTCTTAGGAAAGATGAGCGAGGACCTCCTCCAAGTAAAGAGCTTTTAATCATTGTTTTCAATGGTTACTCAATGTACCACTCGATATATGTACCATAATTTTGTTAATTACATAAATATTACATGAATTCATTCTGATTATTAAAATGCTTACCACGTAAACAGATATTTCCACTGCACATTCCCTTAACCTCACCCTGTCCCAGAAATAAGTAGCTTGAATCAGTTGGGTGGTATCAGTTGGGTGCCAGGGGTCCAGGAGGGTGCTGAGGGCTTCACTTCTCATCAGGGTGGGCGTGGGCAAGAGGAAAGCCTTTGCCCAGTGGATTTTTGTCCTCATGATGGGCTGGGTGAGGAGTAGATAAGAAATGCTAGTGCGGGAAAGAGGCAGCATTAGGAAGGACAAGTGGATGCTTGGTCAACCAGCTGGCCATCAACCCAATGTGGCCCAAACCCCAGACTCAGATCTGGGGTGAAGCCAGTCCTAGATCCTCACCACTTAGAGTTGTCTTAAAGTGTCACCCAATTGTCCATAGCACCCCAAGCACTTCCCACATGCCATTTTTTCAATAGGGTGGATGGAGATGTCGGGGAAGAAGGCTTCAGACCCTTGCACCACTGCTACAGGATCAGACCCTTACAGGCAAAAGTCATCCTTGATTGCTGATTATTCATGGATAAACAGGTAATTTGAGAAAAGGTGATGAGGAAGAATGCATAATGTGTCCTGTCCCTCCTTTTTCTTATCCCTGCAACACAATGAACTCTGCTTACGAAGCACATCATGACGCTTAGGAAGTGGTATCTTTGTGTCCAGACCATGCCCCTGTCCTCTGTTGTACATGTTGGATCTCATACATAAAATAAATAGTAGTAAATTATCTCATAAAAATTCCATGATTTTGGTGGTTTCATGCTCTAAGATGTCACAGATTTGATTCTCCCAATAGATAGGGACAAGGCTTCAGAATTGTGGGGTCCTCCTAAGTTTTGTGGACTCTGACTAGAACCCCCACTCTGCACAACTCACTGGGAACCAGGGCCAAAGGTCTAGTCCTGATAAATAGGGTAAGCTTTTACTTTTTTTTTTTTTCTAGAAGAAGATTCTGTGGTCCCTACAGAACCTGGCCCTTTGTCTATAAAATTTGGTTGGAGTAAGTCCAGTGTCTTTTCTGAACTCTTCCATGTCCAGAAATAGCCAATTTTCTATCATACAAGCTTTCATTCAGCCAGGATATTATCTGGACAACATCAAAAACCAATTTTTAGGTAAACTAATTTTTGGTAGGGGACAGAAATAGTTTATAATTATTCAGCCCCAGTTTCTACACATTTTCCACAATTTTTCTATAGACTTCTGTCATGATGAGCTCCCTGCATTGGCCTGACCCAGGTTTCCCTGAAACGAGTGCCGGGTGTCCAGCAGGAGCGGAGCAGAATGGTTACAATCAAGCCTGGGTGGCCTGGGATGAGTTCCTGGCTGCTGTTAATGGGCTAATTCCTTAACCTCTTTGCCTCAGTGTCCACATCTGTAAAATGAAGGTAATAATGACACCTACGTCATCATTTGTGGGAATACTAAGAGTGTTGATACATATAAAGTACTTAATTTGGTGCCTGGCAATGGAAAGAGATTTAGGTGTCAGCTAACATCTTACCCCATGCATGTGCCATACTCGTGGGTGGCACATGCATGGGGCAAGTGAATTCTCTGGCCACTTCTCATTGCTCTGCATCAGGTAACACCACAGGAAGCCGGGACATTTGTCTGGTGGAATGAAGGATGATTTGCATGTCTGGAAGAGGAAAGTGGTCTCTGGCCCACGGAGATGCATAGAAAAACCCAATCCATTCATTTTGGGGCCCAAAAGTTCCATTTCACAAGGCACAAGGAAGCTACCATCTTGTGTGGAGTCAAAAGTGGATTTTACTTTCTGAGCTATGATTGAACCTGAGAGCTAGGGTATAAGTGGGAAGCAAAGGAGGCATGTCTCCTGCATGTTGAAGGCAGCCCGGTCCTCTTCCAGGAGTCTCTTATTTGTCCAGAAATATTTGTTGAGCACCTACAATATGCCACGCACTGTTGCACATCCTGAATATATAGCAACAAACAAAACAGACAGGTCTTTGAGGTCTTAGATCTTCCATCATCAAGATCCAACACATGCTAGCATTCTATGAGAATTTGTCATTAATCTGATGCCTCTTCTTCAGTAGGATGACCCTGCACAACCACAAGATCTGAAGTGCCCTGTGAGTCACCAAACTCAACGTGATGGCCACCACAGTTGTGGTGAAGTTTGCATGTTGTTGCATCCTAATACTTTTTCTGAAAATAGATAGTGCATGTAAGACATCTATATTTTCCATAAATATATATTTTTTGTTAATCCTCACCTGAGGATATTTTTCCATTGATTTTTTAGAGAGAGTGGAAGGGAGAGGGAGAGGGGGAGAGAGAGAGAGAGAGAGAGAGAGAGAGAGAGAGAGAGAGAGAGAGAGAGAGAGAGGAAGGATCGATGTGAGAGAGACACATCGATTGGTTGCCTCCCACATGGGCCGGACCAGAGCTGGAGATCGAGCTTGCAACCGAGGTACATGCCCTTGACCAGAATCAAACCTGGGACCCTTCAGTCCATGGTCCAACGCTCTCTCCACTGAGCCAAACCGTCTAGGGCTTCCATAAATATTTAATTGACCTGAATGGCCTGTTCTGAGACTGCACAGAAAAATATATACCTTTACTCCACAGGAAATATTTGTATGGTTTTGTTGGGTTTCACTTGTTTATATGTTTTGCTTGTATGCATCCTTTGTTCCCTCACCAACTGTTATGTCCATCAGGTGAGGAGCCTCCTTAACCAGTACACATCCTGCTGATGACATCGCTCCACCAGCTCTGGTCCTGAGGATGGAGGTTCCAGTCAGGTGAAAGGGAGGAAAGATCTTGTCTGCTGCCTCAGATCTTGTCTACGGCAAAGCCTTCGCCTGGGACCCTCTGATAGTCAGAGGAAGAGTCAGGGGAATGAGGTCAGGACACATTCATCCCTCCTGAGGTTCTCTCCGCTGCTGTGAAATGACCTGATGGGGTGGAAGCTCTCCAGATTTCCTTTCAACACTGGTCTCTGCTTCCAGGTTTCCTGGGCAGAAGGCAGGGCAGGATTTGGGACCTGTTCTTTTTGACTTGAAGGACTCCCATCTGCAAAGAAGCCAAGAAGTGGCCAGCAGTCCCAGGGCTTCATAAACACACACACACACACACACACACACACACACACACACACCACACACACACACACACACACACACACACACCACACACACACACACACACACACACATACACACACACCTGCCATACCCTCATCTATACCTTTCAAAGCAGAAAATAAAAACACCCTTGATTTCTTTGCTACGAAGGAGACTTATGGGTGGAGAAAAAACAGG